GTTTGTAAATGATGGAAGTGTGCTTAGCACAGAGTAGATGGTGATGTGATGTGTGTGCTGGATGTTGATGTTATGGTCATTTACTTGTTGGTAAATGTTGTTATTGCAAAAACAGATATGAATCAGTGTACTAGGATTTTTACACTGATTGATTCAATGTGCGGAAGTTTTTAGGCTGTTGCCTGCAGTGTACAAAATGTTTTACCCTATAGGTCAGGGTACAAGAGGCCTGCCACCCTGATCCGAAAGGGTGACCCAAAAACAATTTTGGGCCCTGATAGGAAGAGGCTGGTGTAACCCTTCCATTTTCTATTTGCTGCTCTTCACCCGTTGGCAGGTGTTGAACGAGATGACGAATGTCTGTACGTTGTCTGCCATGTCTGCCACGCACAACTTGGCCAACACATAGAGCCAGTATGGCAGCACATTCTGACTGGACGTGCAGCAAGTGACCCAAGAGTGAAGGGGACTGGATTTGGAACTCGCCCGCTAAGGTGAAGTTTGTTACAGTGATAGGGGTGCGCTTTTAACAAATCACATTTTGTTAGGGGGTGCGCTTATATTTGAGAACCGAATATAACTGCAATGCTCCATATAGATGCCTATGCAGTTTTCCAAGGTCTGTACTTCGTAGTGTCAGCCCTGGCGTGGAGGGTTGCCTATGATTCAGGTGGAAACAAGGATTTCCCTCCACTAAGCCGCTGCCGCGCGTCTGATTTCAAGACAAGTCAAGCCGTCCTATAGTGTAAAAAGAAAAGGTGTAAAAATGAGCAAGTAACGGTAAGTATCACAAACAGCAGGGCAGTCCCTTGGGCCCCCCAAAGCAATCAGGAGGCTGGAATGATGCATACAATGCAACAATGTCACATATGAACCACGATTACCTCATCCCAATCCTAGACTGGGTGTTCGGTGATGAAGCTGCCCCTATCCGCAATCATTTGAAGTTGTGCCTCCAGGCTGTCCTCACCCGCAACACTATCCTTCATCTCCTGGACCTGCGCATCCACCTTGATGGCAGCGCCAGATTCCTCTTTCCCCGCCACCTCCTCCCTGACAGCCTGCAGCTGGGTGGCAATGTGCGCCATGCTTGGGCGGCTTGCAGTGCGCTCCACGGTGCAGCTCACTGCCAGCTCAGCCAAGTACTGCACAACATCCCCAGGGGCGTCCATGGTGGGGTGCTTGAGGCTCTCTGAACCACCCGACGACAGGCACTCGGATACCTGACAGAGTGGAAGAGGATGGACAAAATTGCAAGTTTGCAAAGGTGAAAAAAACATCAGTTAGCCTATGAAGCAGAATATTTCACTTCAATTGGAAGAATGCGATTATGGCAACATGCAACAAGCTGCCTGAGTGGAACTTACCCACACCACAATGTGCTTGGCCTCCCCAGCATCCTGGGAAAGTAAAGACCGTCCAGTGAGCACCACAAGCATGAGCACACCAAAGCTGCAACGTGCGAGAGGTGGTGAGAGCAATGCGATGGTGAGAGCAAGGCAATGGTGACATGAATGTGACCACTGTTTTTTTTTTGTGAATTCAAATAACATGTGGAGGATGTCGATGGTGTTCAGTCAAGAAGGGAAATAAATTGAGTATCCAACCAACTAGGCTGGATGGGTTGACCAACTAGCATTGCTTCATTACGTGCTTGTTCCAGGTGCAAATCTAATGCATAAGCCAATATCGACATGACGAGGCACATGCCACGTTTTTATATCCTCGGGAGTCTCCATTATTGGAGCCATCTCCCAGAGTCTTCCGGCTCACATAGCACGATCTTTATACGACTCTTGGCTCACCTGTAGACATCGCTGGCTGTGGTGGCCTTGGACGTCCGGTTGTAAACCGGATCCACATAGCCCGGTGTTCCCATGATTCAAGTCGTGCCCACTGTCGTGCCCTCTTCCACCCTCACCAGCCCAAAGTCTGCAATCTTGGGCTGGTGGGTGGTTGGACAATGTGATATTATGAATGCACCAGCACAAAAGAAAGAAAATTCAATGGTGACAAAACAAACGACATACGCTGGTCATTGGCAGTGAACCAGAATTGCACCCAGACACGGTAATCTCGAACGTGTAAGTGAGTGTGAGCCATATGCAGAATTAGATAAAAAAAAGAGACTCGCCGAACCAAACTAGAACACACCAATTATTTCGGCAGGCCCTGCCTATTCCTAGCAATTCTCATGGGTAGTTCTTCATTTCTTTCCACAGAAGCATCTTGTTATGCAGTGTGAGATGCTGCAACCGCGCTTGCCTGCATGTCGCTGGTGATGAGGATGTTGGCGGGCTTGATGTCGCGATGCACAAGGTCGAAGCTATGGAGATACTCAAAGCCACGTGCAACACCAATGAGGATGTCTAGCCGCTGCTTCAGACTCAGAGGAGCAGGTGCATCTGCAATGAGCCACGGGATGAGTTTCATGACAAGCATCACCAGGCAGCATGAGTGGCCTACCACGAGTAACATTGTACAAGGGAATGCGACACGACTTGCACACTTACTTGGTCCTATCCACTTCTCAAGGTCACCATTGGACACAAGCTCATAGATGAGGACTTGCTCTATCTTAGACCTGACGTCCCCTCCCACCGCAAACCCAAGCAGTCGCACAATGTTGGGATGGTTCTTGTCGGCCATTTGCATGACCTGGAGGAAGAGATAACCGGCACACGGGAACAGGAGGAAGATGCCCGGAAAGAAAGAGTAGGTTGAGAAGGAAAGGAGGAAATTTGATTCTGCTCGCTCAGCTTAGGAAGAAGAATAGTCCTGATCAAAATAGATAGCGAAATTTTAGATGAAGCGTCTTTCTGTTTGAAAGTAATGGAAAACCGAACTGTCTTATCCCCATGTTGACTGACGGAGTCTGCAGTCCAGCCACCTCCCCATATGCAGCTCACTCACCTCCCTCTGGAATTCCGCGCCCATGAGCTTGGCGCGCTTCACAGCCCAGGGTGTGGTGGCATCGCGGGGAGAGACGCCCTTGTAGACATCACCAAAGGCACCCGAGCCAAGCAGGTTGTCCTGGGACCAGTCGTTGGTGGCCTTGAGGACCTCCGCTAGCGAGAACTCCGTGCAGTGCGAGGCTGCCAGGCTGGCCCCTGGGCATGGTCGTGGGGTGGGGGGTGAAGGGTGAGGAGGTAATGAGCAAGCCCTCGCCTTGTCTTGCCTTGTTGTTATTGAGCACACGCATACAAAATGAGTAGACATGAAGAGGAACCATCTTAACAAGGAACGTTGAGAAGGTGTGGAGGTGGGACCTGAGCTGAACACATGGAGAACCAATCCTGCTTCTCCTACATTTTGAGCTTTGCCGCTTCTGGTGCCTGAAGCAGAGCAACATGGCAGCCAGAAGCAGGAGGAGAACGACCACAGCAGCAACAGCAATGCCAATGATGCCTCCCACTGATACACCCCCTCCACCTCCAGATGCTGCTGCTGGTGCTGCTGGTGGTGCTGCTGCTACATGAGCACAACAAAAGCATGTCAGCTGAGCAAAGAGATTCGATGTAATCTGAGCAAAGAGAATGAACTGCCATTCACAACAGCACAAGCATGGCAGTAGTGGGGGTGATTCAAGTAAACTAGGCACTGCTTCATGAACCCCACTAACCTGTTTCTTGCTGGCATGCAGAACAGGTGGTGCCACAATCTTGGCAGAAGGCCGCCTTTGGCGATAAGGTTTGGGCGCAGGTGGTGCTGTCAGCAGCAGGACAAGTGAGGCTGGTGCCAGATGTGTTGCTGCAGTGGAAGTGGGCAGATCAGCACAGGAGAGAATATGCTTGGGGCAACTTGTGTGCAGATGATTGCATGCACAAGTCAAGAAACAGATTTATATAGCTGTCAACTAGGCATGGCTAAACCGAACCTTGGTTCGGTTTAGGCAAACCGGTTTGTGTGGAACCAAAGTAGAGTTATGTTTTCATCATTTTTGGTTTGACAAGATCCTGTTAGGCCAATTTGACCTGTTCAATCTCTGCTCGGAGGGGCAACTTGAGTGCAAGTTCAAATTCAGGTAGGGATGGGCATTTGACCCGGACGGGTCGGGTCAGGAATGCTGAGAAGGCCGACCCGCCCGGGTCGGGTCGGGAAAACCCGGACGGGTCGGGTCGACCCGTGACCCGTCACTGTGATTTAGTGACGGGTATTTGCGACCCGCCGGGTCAGGTTGACCCGTCCCGTCCGGGTCGCGTACCCAGTCAAATGACAGGGTTACCCGACCCGTTTTCGGATTAGGGTAGGGGTTGAACATCGGTTGGTTTTTTAGGTTTTTTTTCCCTCGACATTCTGATCTAGTCGCTAGACTAGATCAAGGCTAGTACTTCTGCGCTGCAACTAGGGAGCCTCATACAGTCTTCACTCTTCAATGTTAGCACTATTTAAACTGCATATTATCTTCAGGTTAGGGTTTGGCGCTCCCGCCATTTCGCAGCGTCGCACGACCAGGGGCGCAGCAGCGCGCGTGCGGCCACGCATTGGCGGGATCGCGTCCCCGCAATAGCGCGATCTCGGCCCCGCGTTTGCTCAGCGCGATCAGGGCCCCACATTGGCGCGATCGCCGCCCCGCATATGCGCGATCGCGGCACCGCATTAGGACAGGGCGATCGCGGCCAGGTTCAGCATCGCGATCAGGCACCGCGATAGGGCAGCGCGATCGCGGCCACCTTCAGCAGCGCGAAGGCGCCACCTTCAGCAGCGCGAAGGCGCCACCTTGATCAGCGCGAAGGCGCCACCTTCAGCAGCGCGAAGGCGCCACCTTCATCACTGCGAAGGCGCCACCTTCATCAGCGCGAAGGCGCCACCTTCAGCAGCGCGGAGGCGCCACCTTTAGCAGCGCCAAGGCGCCACCTTCAGCAGCGCGAAGGCGCTACAATGAACGGAATATGAACGGGGAGTCTAACCAGGGAGGCGGAGATGGGAATGAAGAAGGACGAGCTCTGCAAGGTGCTAGTTTTAATCGACTTTAAACACCTGCAGCACGAACCAACTTTATGCTGGGTAGTGCTCTACAGCACCCTGTTGAGACTGATGGCGGAGATGCAGGGGGTGAGGAACAGGATTCCTACTGGCCTAGCAGTCCTCATCGAGAGTGGCAGGGTGGTGGGCAGACCCGTGATGAAACAGGCGATGATAATGAGTATAGGCCTACTGTAGCGGAGGTCGAGGCGGCGGCGGCAGAGGACTCTGCAGCGGGGGCGGGAGGGGACGCGAATGTGGAGGAGGAGGTGCAAGAGCAGGAGGAGGAGGGTGCTGGCCGCAATGCCAGGGAACATGGAGGGGATAATGGGCGGGGAGGAAGGGGTCGAGGGGGTCGTGGGGGGGGACGGGTTGGTCGCGGGCAGGGTCGGTCTTCTGCGCGTGCGCAGGCCGTAGGCAATGCAGGGGGGCGCAGTGGGGGGTATGCTAGCGGCCCCCCAGTAGATGGACGAGGTGGGGGGAGGGTTGGGAGGGTTGCGCATAGTGCTGCAAGGGCTGGGCGCGGTGGCAGTGGTGGTGGGAGAGCGGCCGAGGCTGCGCCCGATCCAGGGCCAGGGAATGCACCCACTCAACGGTCCGATGGTGTTGGGTCTACGCCGTTGCATGCTCGTGGCATCAGTCGGGGTGGTGGGACAGCGGGGAGTCGTGGGCGTGCGTCAAAGCGTCAACGAAAGGAGGATTTGCCTAAGGATTCGGTGGTTGAGGGTTTGGCAGGGAAGCACTACCCTGGTTTACTTGTGGGAATGTTTGGTGAGCTTGAGGATGGTTGTCGTCCGTGTCGGGTGTGTGGGGACGTAATGGGATGGGATGGGGGTAGCACGGGGACTGGGTGGAAGCATGTCAAGCGCGCGCACTACCCTAATGTGCAAATTTGGGTGCGGCGGTTCCTGGACCCGGCGAAGCCAAAGGACCTAGAGTTTCCAACGAGCGGGGCCACCCCCTGGAGAGGAGGTGGGTCTACCCCTGGGAAGAGGAGAATGAGAGACTGGCAGTATACGCAGAGCAGGAGGAAATTTGGCTACCGGGGGAAAGGGAAGAGCTGGCGGTGGAGAAGAAGCGGGAGGACTTCGACTGGCTAGAAGAGGCAATTGAGAGGCAGAGGCGCCGAGAACGAGACGAACGGGAGTTCGGCTACAGCGACTTCGCCCTCATGGCAGCAACGAAGGAGCCAGCTCCGGAGGAAGCAGGAAGCGAGCAGCCGGGTAGCAGCACAGAAGCGAGGGGGGGCAGAATCTGCAGGAAAGAAAGAAGCAGAGCAGCCAGCACCAAAAGAGGAACAGCCAGAGTGGGTGATCGGGGAGGGAGTGTCGGAAGCTGATGCCGCCAAGTTGAAGGAAGTCTTAGCAAAGCATCGAGCGGCTTTCACTTACTCGCTGGAGGTGTAACATGGCGGTGGTGACGTTGGACCTGACGACCGAGATCCCGGTCTACCAGCGGCGGCGGCGCATGACAACGGAGGAGACGCAGATATGCAAGGAGAAATGTCAGGAACTGCTGGAGGCAGGATTCATTAGGAAATCAAATTCAGAATACACAGCAGCAACAGTGGTAGCAGCACAGACAGACTTGACGGGCAAAGTGCTCTCCAAGAGGATGTGTGGGGATTACCGGGGTCTCAACAAAATCACAATAATGAAGCGCTACTAGACGCCGATGCCAGACGAGATCTTTGATTTGCTGGCCGAGGCGCTCGTGTTCACCACGCTAGACCTGCGGCAGGGCTTCAATCAGATACCCATAGCAAAAGCGGACAAGAAGAAGACAGCCTTCCATGGGCCGGATGGACAATACGAGTGGAACTTCCTGCCCTTCGGATTGAAGTCGGCGTCACCAGAGTTCCAGCGGGTCATGGACCAGGTGCTACGGGAGGTCAAGAATGCAGCATGTTACATAGACGACGTCATCGTGTTTAGCACAGATAGCAGCTCGCACGTGAGAGGCGTGGAAGCCACACTGAGCGCCATTCAGGGGGCAGGCCTCACCTGCCATCAAGGAAAGTGCAAGTTCGGGCACACAACGGTAGAGTACCTGGGGTTCGAAGTGGAAGGAGGAAGGATCGGGATCCAGAAGGCAAAAGTTGAGGTGCTGGATCGGGTGGCTACACCGAAGGACCGGGCCTCCCTACGGGCTCTGCTGGGATTTCTCAACTATTATCGCAAGTTTGTGCCCAACTTCAGTAGCCGCGCCACAGCTTTGAACCAGCTACTCAGAGAGGACAGGCAGTGGGAGTGGGGGCCAGACCAGGAGAGGGCAGTACAGGACCTGATGGAAGCCGTAAAGAACGGGGCCGTGCTGGAGCTGCCCAGGGCAGACCTGCCCTTTACGCTATACACCGACTGGAGCAGCGCGGGCATGGGAGCGGTCTTGGCGCAGATGAAGGACGAGGTGGAAAAGGTCCTGGCGTTCGCAAGCCGGAGCTGTAACGCAGCGGAAGCTAACTACTCGTCATACGAGGGGGAGGGGCTGGCGGTAGTGTGGGCGGTAAAGCATTTCAGGGTTTACCTCCAAGGAAGGAAGTTTACATTGGTGACGGACCACCAGCCACTGCTGTGGCTGATGCAGACACCTGACCTGACCGGGAGGAACGCCCGCTGGGCGATGAAGTTGCAGGAGTATGATTTCGAGATCAGGCACCGCCCAGGCAAGACCATGCAGCATGTGGATGGCCTGTCAAGGAACCCGCCAGAGGTACAGCCGTCAGCCTGCCTCATGGCCATGGCGAAGGAGGCAGACCGGGGGCAGGCGTGGGGAGAGAGCAAAGGGGGGCCAGCCGACATCTGGGAGGACCGGGAGGCACTATCTTGGATACAGGGGGCAACCACGGAGGAAGGAGCGGTGCCAGCCAGAGTCCGCGCTCGGGGGGAGCACTATCGCTGGTTCAAAGAGCAAGTCCAGCTCCGCACGGGAGAAGGGTGGAAGCACGTCCCGCCACCAGCTGACAGAGAAGCCATCATCAAGGAAGTTCACACGAAGCTAGGACACTACGGGCCCTTGCGCACGCAGCAGCTAGTTCAGACAGGGTGGTGGTGGGCAGGTATGCGGCGGCAGATCAAGGAGTGGGTGGAGAAGTGTGATGCGTGCTGCAGGAACAGAGCGGTGCTGGAAAGGGAGAAGGCAGAGTTGCAGCCCTTGCCCATAGTGAGTTTGGGATACCGCTGGTCGCTGGACATAGCGGGGGAGCTGCCGGACACGACCAAGGGCAGGAGGTACATCCTCCTGATGGTGGAACACATCAGCAAATGGGCAGAGGCAAGGCCGCTCGTGCACAAAACGTCAGAGGCAGTGGCGGAGGCATTCGAGGAGATGGTCATCACCAGGCTGGGGGCATGCGGGGAGGTACTGACTGACCAGGGAACGGAGTTCGAGGGGGCGTTCGACCTGCTGCTGAAGGCCAGCGGTATTCGGCATCGATCAACCTCACGCTACCATCCGCAGAGTGACGCTTAACAGAACGGCTGGTGCTGACAGTCAAACGGGGGCTAAGGGCTTACGAGGAGGAGCACAAGCAAGACTGGGACAGAAAGCTTTGCTGGGTCATGGCAGGTTATCACTTCAGTAAGCAAGCGGCCTTTAAGGACGTGTCGCCCTACTACCTGCTGTTTGGCAAGGAGCCCGTCATGCCAGTGGGGGCACCAAGGCTACTCTTAGACGTGGTCACCACGGGCTCGGCAGAGAAGTGGGTGGCCGTGGCGGATGCACGAGCGTCGTATCTGAGGCACTTGCTCTCGGCAGCGCTGGAGAACCTGCACGTCGCCCAGCTGCGGGATATAGAGAGGTACAAGCAGCGGCAGGAGGCAAACGGGAAAGGGGCGGTGGCAGGAGTGCAGGAGGAGGAGGAGGTCTATCTGAGGCGGCAGAGGAAGCATGCCCTGGACGTGGGGCTATCTCAGCAGCGATGGACGGTGAAGGAGGTGCGACCGTCAGGAGTGATAGTGTTGGAGGATGGGAAGGGAAAGCGGGTGGCCGATCACGTGACCAATGTGGCCAGGATACGCTCGGAGAAGAGCAAAAGCGTAACTCAGGGTCCCATGACACGCGCGAGGACGGCAGCCATGTGTCATGGGAGGGGGCAAGGAGGTACCGAGAAGGGAGAGAACAAAGGCAACGGGAAGGAGAAGGTGGGGTAAAGGCACTAAGAGACGTGGAAGCAGGGCAGAGAGGGGTGGTACCGTGAGGCGAGAGGCGGAATTAGAGGCAGGACAGTGAGAGAGGGGGGGGGAAGAGGTAGGAAGGCAAGAGGGAAGGGGCAGGCGGAAACATAGGCACCTGAGCAGTACGGTGAGAGAGCAAGGTGGCACGGCACAAGGGAGGTAGGTGAAAGAGGCAACAAGTGACAAGGAGGGGAGTTTCCGACAGCTGTCAGAATTCTGAGGCTAACACCTAAGAAATCCTGACAGAGGGTGTAGCGGAGGGTAAAGGCGGAAGCAGACTGTGGCGAGGAACTGTAACGGCAGCGGCGTGGCAGGAGGAGGCAGGTGGCAGGAAGGTGGGTGCGAGGGATTGAATTCGGGGAAGGGCGGCAGTAGCGAAGGGTGGGGGTGTGCTGGCACGGTTGGCAGCGAGATGACGTGGATGGGGGTGCGGGTGGGGAATGTGATGTATGATGTGTGGTATGCATGTGTGTGCTTTGGTTTCTTCTTGCAGACATCGAGTCCAGGACAGAGCTGGAAGGCAGCAACGCCAGCTGGAGATGGGAGGGAATGCAGTGTGGATGGCAAGCTAGGCAGCTTAGCACTGTTGCATTGTTAGGCTAGCCTTGCTAGGGTTTGTGTTGGGAAGCTTAAGGCAAGGTCCTGGGCCATGGGACTGCCACTGCGTGTTTGTTTTCGTGAATTACTGCAACATTCTCCAAGATAAGCAGCTCTAGCACGAAGCCATAACAGCAGTCAAGATGAGTTAGGAGGGAGCTTGGCATAAGGAGGTACCGAGAAGGGAGAGAACAAAGGCAACGGGAAGGAGGTGGGGTAAAGGGACTAAGAGACGTGGAAGCAGAGCAGAGAGGGGTGGTACCGTGAGGGGAGAGGCGGAATTAGAGGCAGGACAGTGAGAGAGGGGGGGGGAAGAGGTAGGAAGGCAAAAGGGAAGGGGCAGGCGGAAACATAGGCACCTGAGCAGTACGGTGAGAGAGCAAGGTGGCACGGCACAAGGGAGGTAGGTGAAAGAGGCAACAAGTGACAAAGAGGGGAGTTTCCGACATATATATTCCTCAGAGTTGGATGAAGTGTGCGGATTAGGTATAGCGTAGTAGCGGGAGTAGATTAACGTGTGAAGTGAGTGTGTGTTTTTGCTTGCGTTAGTTTTGTGTATGAAGCCTGGTTGGATTTAGGAGGTGCGTTGTGGTACTGCCGGTTTTGGGTGGGATGGATGGGCTGGCTAGTTGGGCAAATTTTGCGAAATCGCCGTCGCGAATAGAGTCCAATGCCGATCAATTCGAAAGTGTGAAATGCGAAATATTGAAAACATTCTCACACCCCACCTATTGTGTTTCCCGTCAGCCCAGGAAGAAAAACCCAACCCAACCACAATACACCGATTGTGTTTCCCATCATTCTCCCACCGACATTGCGTTTTTTTTTTTTCACTAGGCTCCCCAGCCTAGCAGTCTCTAGGATGACTTAGGGAAACCCCATCTACGAACCGAAAATCTTCGGGTTCGCCTCGAACATGGTGATGATCGGGAAATCTGTGAAATGTTCGCCCCTACAAAACGAACATCGAACACCCCTAAACCTACAAAAATGTTTGATGTTCGGTTCGGTTGCAAGACATGTTCCGCATTTTCGACTCAAACACGTTTGAGTTCGCCAGTTGCTCATCTCTTATCTAGTACAACAGCAGGTTAGAAACCTAACAAGAAAAATAGTAGGTGCTTTTTTCCCACCAAAATAGTCATTTGTTATGAAAACGTTTTGTTCCAGAAAGAGTCTGGAACGGGGAAAATAAAACGTTATGCTCCTTGGCCAGCAGTGATGATATGCACATAGAAAGAGAAAACTCAGGGTGCCTCTTACAGGTATGTGAGTGCATCGATCCAGAAGATGTAGTAGGGAATGGAGCGGTTGAGAGAGTTGGAGTTGAGACCCCTGTGTGGGGTTGAGAGAGTTGGACGTGATGAGAGGAGAGACTCAAATCCCTGTCCGGGTGGCTGGAACTTGGAAGGCATGATCATTTTAAAAGGGCTAAAGCAAGGCAAATGGAGAGGACTGTGATTGTACATGCTGAGCTAGTGTAGTGGCAGTTGTGAGCTCTGCTGAACTGATGAAGCTGTCAGAAGGTTGATGCAGCACATACGAGCTAGGAGTGGCAAAGTGATGCAAA